GCACATGTTTGTATGTGAGACTGTGTGTGTGTGTGTGTGAGAGTGTGTGTTGTTAAAGTACCCCAGTGTGTGTGTGTGTGTGTGTGTGTGTGTGTGTGTGTGTGTGTGTGTGTGTGTGTGTGTGTGTGTGTGCGCATGCACGTGTGTGTGTCTCCATGCTCATTGCCAAATTTCTTATATGCCCCGGTAGCATTTCTCCCTGGGCCAGGGGAAAGACTGCGAGTGTCAACAACGGCCACAGGGGCTCGCTGGAAAGATGGGTGGGACCAATAAGGGCATGTGGGAAACTTTTGTGCTGGTTCTCAACGACCATCCGGTAGGGGCATACTGAAAATTTGGTACTGGTACCGGTAGGGGCATATGAAACATTTTTCAGGCCCAAACGACGCCAGGGGTTTTCTGGAAACATCATTCATCGTTAGAGGGGCGCGACAAGGTAAGTCGGCCGTCAGAGGGGCACGCCGCAAATAAACGCAAACTTCAGGGGCATTTCGAAAATTTTCCCTTGATTTTTACTTCGTTTCCATTTGATCGCACTGGGAAAAATTAAGGCCTCGGTCGGTATGGAGAAGGCTAAAGAGTGTTGGGGTACCAACCAGAACACTCGGTTGTTAGGACGCAGTGGTCTAGGTACCAACCCCTTTATTTATTTATTTAAAGCCGAGAAACGGGCCCGGCGTCCCTTAGGGGAGGCACAGTGACTGGCCCATCGAAGAAGCTCGGTCCCGATGCTACCGATAGAGCCATGGCCGGTATCGCCCACCTCTTGTAGCAGGTATCGTACGTGGGTGCAGCTCCCGCATGCTCCCTCGTTGGAGGCTTGAGCACGGATGTGGCTGCTACGGGGTTCCCCGTAATACTAAAATGACACTAAAAAAAAGGCCTGAAAGGCCGTCCTGTCAGGGGAACATAGGATTTGAACCTGCGACGTTATTAGCTTTATGAAGTCGTTGGGCCTTATCTTGGGATTTATGGTAGTATCGCTATAGTTTGGTTGGCTTATGTTTTGAACCTTTGACCTCTGATGTGCGAGGTTTTTTGGAGAGTGTTTTGGGACAGTTGACTGAAGACTGTGGGACTTTCGATAACATCGGTTTCGAGATGAGTACTTGGTTTTGAGCCGGTGACTTCTGAGGTGTGAGGTTCTTTGTAGTATGCTTTAGGATAGAAGTCTGCAGACTGTGGAACTTTCGGTAACGCTGGTTTTGAGATAGTACCGGTGTCAGGCGGCCACAAGTAGTGCGCCGCCTGAAAGTGGCAGTTTTGGAACTTAGGCACAAGGACAAGTCCGTGCAATGACGGTATTCTGGTTTGACCAGGCAGCAAAATTAGGGGGACCCAGAGCACCCCTAAGATTGGAGGTGTCGATCGGTGAGACTAGCCCTCAGAATTGGCGAGAGAGACTACCTCTTCTACCGCGCTGGCGTCTATCTTATTTCCGCCGCTCCGAGCTTGTTTCCGAAACAACTGGCCGCAGAACGGTGATATGAGAATAGGCCTAGGCGTGGTCCCTTTTATGCTGCGCAACTGGCACGGGAATGAAGCCTCGGATTTCATTAATTTTAATATTGTTGTCTTCGTTATTTTCGATAATAGAATTAAGAAATAAGAAAAATAATTAAAAATGATAAAAAGGAAGAAAACCAACGATTATTAAATAATCGACTGAATTTTGATCAGATTATTTGCGATCGGATTTACCCCCGGATTATTTATTTACTCTAAATCTAACGATTTTCTCTAATTCCCGGTAATCGGGATCGTTTGCGTGAGTTACCTGACTTAGCCTCGCTGCAACCTGTGTGATATGAGTGGGTGTGCGTTTAATGATCAACGCAGTATCGTTACTGGGATTATTTTGAGATGGATCGTGAGGCTTTACTTTACTTTGTGCGGTTGCTGGTTTGGTTCGGGCCCGACAGTCAGGCTTGGGGCAGGTTCGGGACTATTATGACATGGCTGCACGGTCCGGCGTTGACACGATACAGCGGACTGGCATTAGTTTTCAGGTTCGGGACAGACTCGACGCCGGTATGGTGCAGACTATTCAGGTTCGGTATTGGCATGGTAATGGTTTGATACTCCCGAGGGGCCGCGGCATTGCACGGTATCAACATTTTCAGGCTCCGTATTGGTTCGGCAACGGTATGGTACACGCCACTGCATTATTTTCAGATATTGTATCAGCAACGGTACTACAGGTTCAGTATTGAACCATCCTCGACACGGTGCAAATTATAGTAGACCTCGATGTTTATTTCGAGTTCGTCATCGGTACAGTAACGGTGCAGGTTGCTGCGGTGTGCCACTCCGCTATTTTTGGTTGAGGCCTTAGGACCGGTGGTATGAGTTCCCGG